TATGAGCGTGCTGTGGCCTGGTTACCACACTCCTAGGAGCTTAATATCCGCCTTCGAAAAATCTATTCTCAATGTTTGCTTTCATTTTTCATTCTTTGCAACATGCAAATTGAACTGTTTTGGGGGCTGATAGTAACCCTATTGCCTGATGTAAATTATGTATTACGTCAAAGTTGATGATCAATTGTGCCAGTGTTGACCATGAGTCATGGCATATTATTTCGTCAGGCGTCTACGTTCACATCGCCTCTTAAAGTAAAGTTGGAGGCTGATGATTACAGCAACTCTAAATCACATGTGTTGTGTTCTTTTGTCATCGAAGCCTACAATCCAATGGCAGCTGAAATGTGTTTTCATGAGTAGTTTGGTATTTTCGAGAGTTTTGTTTTGCCAATTTATTGTTGTCTGAAGAAATTTAATGCTAAAATGCACGTGTTGCTATAACTAACAACTTTAACAAATTGGAGCTTGTAATTCTGTTCCAACCGTCGTTTCACTAACCATGCAGTGTTGATATTTAGGCTTACAGTCATAAACAACAAGAAAACGGTGTTCTTCTCAACAGTAAAAGCAATGACCATTTGTTTTTCAAAAAGTTCTAAACTCCAGGCAGTTTTACGCGCATGAGTGCCAGAGAACAACAGATTGTTCTCCTACGGTCATTGTCTGGAGAAGTTTTGCAAACAAGTCGTTTTGCCCATGAAAGCCCCATGAATCACAGATGACAATAGTTTCACTCTCTTTGGGGAATATCGCATCTCCATTCATCTTTGATCCACGGCCAAATTATGAGTTGGCTGTCCAATGACATTAATTTTGAAAATGCCGCAAACAAATTGACAGGTCAAAGTTCAATATTTCTATCATTTTCTGTAGATTCTGTTGTTACAACGTGACAGACTTCTGCCCTTCATTTTAGTCCTGCAGTCACAAAGTCTGTCCAAACACTCGTTTCTCCAATAAGCGTCCACTGTTAAAAAAGTCATACAATATAAATGGAAAATTTTCAGCATAATTACTGTTTCATTAATTTCTTTAAATGAAGTCCACTTACAAAAGAGAAGTGATACCTCTTACAGGAGGTAAAGAACTCATTACACAAATTTTTAAGGGCTTTGATTTTTTGCATTGTCTGTGTATTGCCGTAGTAACTTCTATTTATTTATCCTCCTCAGATATTCGATTGTTGCAAGCTCCAGTAATTGCTTATTGGAGGGAGTGGGCACACACACCTCCCCCCACACACACACCGGTGTACCAACAACGTAGTAAACACATATTCAGGGTTATGGGGCAGATATAGATGTAGGTTGTCTTGACTTGAAGAGTAATGGAAAATGGTAATGATACCTCGACAAATCCTTCAAAAATGCCAAATAGTGGTAAAAAATATCAGTTAGTGGAGACAAAGCCTCTTAAATATCTGAAATAATTTCTCCACTATTCCACATATATCAATGATCAGTACCAGCACCAGCGTTCTCACATTGTCTTTCCCTGTCCTTTTTACCTCTTTTGTTATTTGGTACGCATAATCGTAATATTTAAGTTTCATTTTATGATTGTCTATTTGACTTTTAATTGAATCTGTTCATCACTTCATAAAATGCATGTAACGAAGCGAGTTTCCTTTCAAAGAACCGATACATGATATTGAATCAAACAGCAAAAATTGCCACTTTTTCTGACTTTAAACCAAGAAAACCAATCAAGAGAAAAGCTATTACAGTTTTTACCTTCGCAAATTAAAACTAATTTGTAGAAAGCGCCGGCTTGGATTTCAATGCATTTCGAATCCTGGGGCAATGCTACTCATTAATATACCCTCTTGGGTGAAATGAAGAGCTGCACATCATTCGGTTGTTGGTCTTGCACTCATTTCCGCAGTGCCTAGAAAGAAGAGACGGGGCAGATGCAAAGGGGGTATTCCTGATTTTCCCCTGTCTCCCATGGGCTCCCGTAACACGCACTACATTAACCTGTCAATCGATAATGTACATGGACTATGAGAGGAATCACAGTGCATGACCACGCGCTCGCGTTTGGGGAGTTTTTAATCCCGCCACCGCGGGGACAGCGCGGCAGGAACGAAGCGATCGATCTGGCATGGCAAACAGAAATGATTGCAGTGCTATGCTGCAGGATCGAATACAACCACAAGGCCGGGAGAACACATTCAGATACAGGGGCCCCTGCGTAGGCCTCAGTATGTTCGTGCGCTGGGTTCACGACACGCTGGTAAACATAACCTCTAGGTCAAGTAAAAAAAAACGAAAATTAAGAAACAGTCCAACTAAACTAAACGACAACCAAACTGTAAGGCATGTCATTGAGAGCAGCCCTGTTTTGACCTGACTTGGGGAAGTTTTTAATCACATGTAGACAGCGTGGGGTCCAGTGATAACTTCTGGGTGGCAGCAAATGCCCGTGCCCCCCCTTGGAAAGTTAACTTTTATTATCGTTTGGTGTCCCTTAGAAACAAATGTGTGCACCCCCAGCTGCCACCCGGACATAACAGCCCTAGTTACGCCACTGGTGGGGTTTGTGGCAATTTTGGATCCTAGGCGCTCTGTGGTGCAATTTCAGGCAGAATTCCGCTTTCTTCTTTTCGCCCCTCTTCTTCTTGTTTTATTTATTTATTTGTCTATTTATTTATTTGTGTGAAAAAGGGGGTTGGGGATCCGCCCTGCTAATTCGCATAAGCTACGTCCCCACAAAAAAGCTCAGTTTCTGTTCATTTGGTCAGAAGTAAATTATTTCAGGTTGGAAAACAAATCATAAACGCTCCTTCGGACTGACAGCATTTGAACCCCTGCAGACAAAGAAAAAACATTGTAGCCGTGCCTTTCACGCTCAATTACCCGGCACGTGTTCCCGCAGTCAACCCGAACACTTTAATTCCGGAGGCCCTCAGAGATCGTCCCGCGTTAATGCAAGGGGTTCCAACGGCAGGAAATTAGCCTCAAGATCCAAAGAAAGAGGGAGGAAAAAATCCAAAGTAGAAATAGTTCGATCGATATTTTTTCAGAGATTGTGGCGCGACGTGCAAGCAATTGCTTTTTCATTGCCGCACCATCGGACCCCTGTTGCCTCATCTTTGACTGTCTTAGTCGTAGAGGGCAGCGACTTAATTTTGGCTTCTGTGTCAGTTGCTACAAACGAGGGATATTTCAATGTACCATCATTCAGGGCTAGATGTAAGCAGGAGGTTGACAGTTTTGATGCTTATTTCCTCAGAAACTGTCCAAATGTAGCTTGTAAGAGAGAGTGTTATTGGGTGGTATGGCGGATGCCTATACCCCGACGTCACATTACTGTTACGAATGACAATTTTCTGAACTTAATTAATTAACAGTGCTTTGTAATGCTTATCCATGCGAAAGCAAGACCCCGCCCCCCCATAAAACAGAAACAAAAACAATCGCGGTCTCTATACATCCGAGGAGGTCTTCTTAGTTGTACGCTTTGGAACGTGTGGCCTGGTGGTCGGGGTTTGTAAACTTGGTCTGTATCCGGGTTTGTGTTTGAATCCTGCGCTGGAGCCCAGATTTTGACCTTGGTCAGGTCACTTTGCTCTGACTTGCGTCCACCCGGGAGTGCAAATGGGTACCTGTGAGAGCAGAGAGGGTAACTGCAGTTAATTGCCCTGGTCGTGCTTGAGTTTAGTTGCACCAATGGTTGTGTACTTTAAGGAGTTGATAGGTTCATAGGAATATTTATGGGTCCAAGGTGCAGGACCGTATTTTGAAAAACGCACTGAAAGATGAAGGACCGTCTGTACTGAAATGCACTATACAAATACATCAAACATTATTAGTTACGAGAATTCACAAGGATATGCCAGGAGTAGTTAACCAAACTGTGGCTTTTCATACAAACTTCTTCGTCCTATGGTTTCCGGGATTGAGGGTACCAGTGTTCAGCAAACCAGACGCAAACAACGCGTGGGCAATGTTTTTGTCTCTGAAGAATGCCAGTGTTCTGAATTTGGCACCCTAGCTACACTGTAAGGATTCCCAATAATACATTATACCCGCATTACTGAGTTTTAGGTTTATACGGTTTCGCTTGACAAGTCGGGTAACTATATGCGAACCAGTAAAGTCAATACGATGATTAACTGTGTCTGCAACAGTCAGCAGTAACCAAAAGAACGCTTTGGCACTGATTGCTTTAATTTTTAATTGATAAAAAGGAGAGCAACAAAGCTTTTCAAACTGAAACAGGTGAACAATCGTGACGGCATCTAATAACTGTACAGCAGGTTTAGCGCAACAGAGATATAATTATATGTATGACGATACCTTTTCTGAATCAAATGTTACTGCTTTAAAAAGAAAAACAAATCTGATATAGCTGCTGTAAACTTAAAGGTCAACAAAGGAAATAGTCTTCCTAATCCCTGATGCAGTCAAAGGACAATGCCATGGGGCTTGTGACCTCAGGCAAGATGCTTTTCAATAAGGAAAACAGATATCAAAGCGCCTCTTATTCCAAGTCCTTGACACATTATGACGATATTTTTTTTGACAAAACAAAACAAACTCAGGCCATAAACCACCTTGGTAATTTGATTTGTTTTTGAGGCAATTTTTTTTCTGATAGTATCTCAGGGGCAAACTAATCGTTCTCCCACCAGAAGAAGAGGACAAATTCTTGACGCGCCACATTCCGTTTGTGCTTAATGAAGCCAATTAAGACACTGGAAACTAAAATTGATTGAGCACTTTGCAGTCAGATAATTTCGCTAATGCTGGAACATCGATTCCCGCATTTGACTCAGCGGTCGATTGCTAAGGGACAGGATAGTATTCTGGTCCCATTATACAGTGACCAGGCCAAACTGCAATTCACATACCCTGTGCGTAAAATGCCAGCAGACAATTGAATGGTGACGTAACGTTGTCAGGCCACCAATCCAAATTCCTGGAGGAACAATCCCATTGTGTTGACTGAATTCAACAGTTACCACGTACTTTACGTATGGAGACCAGAGTGGTCATATCTGGATTAGGCAAAATGCAAACGTAGGCTGATTTCATTTTCGTCAACTGTTATGTTTTCTAGGAGTATTGGCCTTATCAGAGAATACCGCCGTTATCCCTCTCTAAAGGGAGGAATTCACCCAAACTGTCGGCGTGTAAAGAATCTGAATCTTGCTGGTAGAAACATTTCGATCAGGAGTACAGGATGGCATCCAATATAATTTGGCTCGGACTTCTGCTCGTTTTTTGTGGTGTTCTGAAAGGTAAGTGTTCTCCCAACCGATGTCTGAAAAACCAACTATGTACAATCAAACAGTAGCATTTGGGATTTTCAAAATAAAATACACAGAAGGGGAAAAAAGTTTATCGTGGCTGCATGAAAAGTGCGCGTCTCCGGAAGTTACCACTGTAATGAAACAACTACTTCTTAGTTAAAATTTGAAACTATTGGAGCTGAAAAAGAGTAGCATATAATAGTAGTTTAACACTAAAATTTAACTTATTCGCTATATAACTAATCGATCATTATTTTGATCTCTACAATTTTAGATACCGGCTGTGTGCTCATCAAACAATTAGTGATTTCTTCACAGGTTCTGTTTCTGTTTTTGTCGCAATGTACTCTCTCAAGGTTTTTTAGGGAAGAGAAATCTAGGAAAGGAAGGTGTAGGAAAAATATAGTCTCAAATGTTCAACCGTTAGATAGCAGTAGAACACGCTTGTGCATGGAGCAATCAAACTCAATATAGTCTGAAGGTAGCTTTTGAGAAAATCATCACTGTCATTACAAAGGTATCTGGAGCATATATGTGTGTAGTGAAAACGTTATTTTCCCGTGCACTTGGATGTTGAGCCGGTTGTCACGTAGATAGCACTACGTGTGTATACAAATGGTCATTCCACACTTGCTCATCAATATGGTCAATAACGTTTGAATGGTGTCAAACGCATATTGCACCAAATCAGCTACCAGTACACAGCTGCCTTGGAGTGGTTTAATGACTAGTGCGGGTAGCGACCGACATTTTGAATAAATACATAAAGACGAAGTGATTAGTATTAAAGGTCACCGGTTTAAGACAGCATTACATACTAGATCTGGAGTTAAGTAAGTGATTGACAATGTAATAAAATCCCAGGTTAGAAATTTTTGGCTCAACACATTTTTTGAAACTGGCAGCTGTTGAACGAAAATCTCGTAAAACAAGTTAGAGGAAAGTAGGCCACGGCTGCGTACCCACCATTTCAGTAGGGCATAATGGAAAGGCATATTAGCAAAGCAAAATCGTTACCTCCATCACAAATCCAGGTTTTTTTCTTAAGCTTTTTAATTTTTTTCCTTCAATTCAAAACTATCATATCGTACATACCCAGTGTAGCTTGTAAAGCCAAAAAAACTTAACAAAAAGATACATTTTATGCCATGATGCCATAATTGATGAGTCAGTCAGATAAATAGCCTTTTAAGTTACAAAAAAATCAAAGCAGGCATTTTAGACAGGGTGTAAACATAGATTGCACCTGCAGCTTTACGTACATTTTCAAGAATTAAAGCGATCATGACCGGAATACCCATCGTCGCGACTTAAAATCCAACTGGGCAGATTAAGGACGATGACGACTTTTATTTTGGAAATGCATTCAAAGCTTTCACCCCATAGATTGGACTTGTTTCATACATTCGACGTAGTAAATGCATTTATTTGGATGAGAGGCCACGTCCAATCAGAAGACAATTCAACTGCAGGCTTCATTATTTTGTTGAATTATCTTAAAGGATTTAAACTGAAAGTAAATTGTGGAAAGCATTTCCAATTTCAATCGAACAAACGCACATTGGGAGATATATTACTTTGGACAGTCAGCGCCTCAGAAATTTAGTGGTATGCCAGAATGACAGGACGAAAGGTAAACTTTTTACGTGAAGGTACCTCAAGCACAAAGGTGAACATACATATTGCGCTGAAATTCATAGTATATTTCTATCAATCTGTTTCGTTTTCAGTCTGGTGATTTGATATGGTGTGAGGAAGTTGTGCCAAAACTACAGAAGATGAAATCGCGTTTATAAACTGAAACGAATAACTGATAAAGTGTGCCGTGTTAACGACAGTTTATCCCAACCTAAAACAAAGCCATACTTATATCCTCCTCATTTGAACAATACCGCTAGCCCATAGAGACATGCAAGAAGGTTTTCTGCAGAATAAATAATCCAATCCTCTTTATATTTCTAAACCCTGGTTTCTAACGAATAGGCCTACGCCCGTCCGTAGGCCTACTTATATCCTCCTCATTTGAACAATACCGCTAGCCCATAGAGACATGCAAGAAGGTTTTCTGCAGAATAAATATCTAATCTCTTTATATTTCTAAACCCTGGTTTCTAACGAATAGGCCTACGCCCGTCCAGAGAGCAACATTACAAAAAGTAGCGCCACAGAATGCCAACAAAAACTTTGACAAGAGATAATCCCCTATGACGTCCAGACAGGTTTAGCTCAGATGTGTTGAAGTCATTGTACTGCGTCAGCCGGACAGGAAAGTCCAGAATTAGAAATCGCCCAGTCATGAATACGGGTCCCGCTGCATGATTTGCCAACTAAAGCACATCGCTGTTCTCCTTGAAGCATTTGATTACTCGCTGTGCAACAGACAGCAAGCCTCTGGCAATATTTGACTGTTCCTTGTATTTGGCATCTACCGGTGTTAAGTGACAACCATCTTGTCAGTTACTTTAGAAATCTAGATTGCAACGACTGTCTCTCCTGTACCTGCGTCGTAGCTGTCTACTATGCAATATCCCATAGGAGTTGAATATGAAAACAAACTGTCACGGTGTTTTCTTTTTGTTGCCCCCCGAGAGCCTGCCTACCAGGTTTGTAATTAATTGGAATTCTTTTCGTTTGATTCAACTTCTAAATATCATTATGGCGCGTGATAGCGTCTACCTTTGCCCTGTACTTAAATTGGTACCAATTAATACCGTGAAAAGGCTTAATGTAATAGACACAAAATAGTCAAAACACATCACATATTGTGCTTCATACTTTGCCGCTATTGTCTACAAAATCCAAGTTCTTCCATAGTTGCACGGAAAGTGGCTTGAGCAGAAATATTCCGTGCACACAGACTTCGAATTGCCTGTCACTGCCTCAATTATGCCTTTTAATCCCCTGCATGGATTTGCCTCATAGCCACGAGGCAGATACGTACCATACAAGACGGGACTTACGCCTTGAAAAATCAATCCCGAAATGACCCTAACGTGGTTTACGAGTGACGATGGTGACTTCGTCGCGCGGGCTCAAGGATAAGGAAGAATGGGTAGCTTAAGAAAATCCAATAGTATTTGTTCAACAATGAATAAGCTGAATAAGCTGACTACACGCGAGCTTGTGGGTTTATGGATCGCCGCCTGAATTTCATCAAGCACCGTTGTATACAGTCGGAATATTACAGTCGTGTATCTTGGCACTGATGGTGTATCTGCACGTTGGCATTTAAAGCGTAGCAACGCGTCAGTCGCCCCAGTGAGTCGTATACATGTAAAATATGCATTCTTATTCATGAAACAAACTCAGCATGAAATCGACAAGTATTTCTTGTACTTTGCGAATTAGTATACGCTCCAATTAATCTGGCAGTCGTTTAATTGTTGCCCCGGTAATTTCACAATATTTATTGCGCCAGCTAATAACTTCAAACATTAAAAAGAGTGTTTTCTTTTAGCGGATATAAAGAAATTTAAAGTCATTTAAGTGTACAAGATAGCCGTTTAACGTTAATCAAGATGCACATTATCTGGAACAGATTTCTGTGCAATTCGTAACATTTTGTGCCTATTGTCATACAACATACAAGTTACACTGACATTTATGATATCCATTATAAATCATGAACTCTATATTCTGGTAATGTGTTTAGCAGTACAAGATCGGCAATTAGGTGTGGGGAATATGGGGTGGGTTAAAGGACAGCGTGAATAGGGAAGGGGCTGGAAGAAAAAAAGGGGGAGGATTTGTAATGGTAAAGTCGAACTATTCGTATACTTGATGTTAAAAAAAATGACACAAAGTTGACAAGCGAGTTAACGGCCGCATGGGATTTCCAAATTACGCCACAATGCACATGGGTAATTTTATTACAGTGAACAGTTGTTCCAAGACCTCGAATTTATCCACTGCTACCCAAATAGATTCATCTGTGCAGAAAACCCATCGACCTTTTCCATACCATAGCAGTTCCTACTCAAGCAGTAAATTATCGAAGAAGACAGACATATTTTCCGAGACTGGACTGAGTAAGCATTGAAAGCGATGAATTAGTATATGAAAGGTGACACAGAGGTGCCTTACGTGCAGACGAATAAGTCTGGAGGCAGAACATGGCGCTTTTCATGGCTGCATGTGCTGCTCTCCTATTCTAACCTTTAATTTAAGAAAAGTGTTTGTTTCTCTCGTATGTTTGTGATATATTATGTATGCAACGTATTCTTCAGCCGAAAGTGATGCTAAAACAGTTTGCAAAGAAAGTGTCGTCGAAATGAATGATCGCCTTTCACTATTCTGGCAGAGTCAGCAAACTAAATAATCCCTCCATTTCATTGCATGCGGTACAGTCAGTCAACCCCCCCCCCAGGAAAATCCATGTAAGGTCGTCGTAGGTCACAAACCTAACTTAAAATATTAGGGTATGGTGCTTAGAAAAGAAGATTAAGAATTTACATACTTGAATGTATATTATCTCCGGGAGATCCTGTTATCGGTATTTTGACTTGATTATTATTAAAATGCGTAGCCGTTCCACCAATATTCTATTTTGGTATGATGATCTTTTTGGTATTTATTTGTGGATATTGGCTGTTTTTATTCCAATCCTTGGACGTTGCTAGGATTTGTTTCCGGAAGGGGGTTTATGAGAGTTACTAATTAATCAGTAGCAAACTGATGCACCCTTAACATTTGGAGGGAGTCAATTCCAACGGTATTTCTAAGGAAATTGGTGATTTCCATCTCCTTGGATCTTTTCCTCCGTGTGTCTTTCGTCTTGTCCCAGCTGTTTTGATTTTCAGTTCTTGTCTTGGCTCGTCCCCTCGTGACTTTTCATGCATAAAGGTTTTGGGTTTTTATTTTGTTCGTTGGTGAGCTGGATAGGCGAGTAATCACATTAAGAGGTCGTTGGTAATTGATTTCCTATGGTAGAGATGCTGACTTTTTGGTGATCAATTGGTGCCCTTTTCAAGAGACGCAAAGTTTTGAAATGTTAATGAATAATTGATCAGTTACACACAAGCTTAGAAAAAGGAACATGCACCCTGATTCGCCTACCAAAAGAGACAAGTATTTTTTATAATGGACTCTGAAAACGGAAATTATATGATGACGGTCACTTGATATTGTAGATGACATTCACATTAATGTATTGATATTGTCCTAGGAACGGCGAACAATGAAACACAAACAAACAGAAGAGGTATGTGCAACAGAACATGGGTTAGCAGCCAAAAATAACGGAAAGCTAAATAAAGAGCTTTAATACACTAATAATAAACATCCTATTTCAATGATCTGATTTCCACGAAACATATCTTTATTTCCTTTAACAGCAATGACGTAATCAGATCTTGGTTACAGGAGGGTCAAAATGGAACACTGTTTAAAACTGACAGTCCATTTTGTCATGTGTAAAATAATCCTCATTAACCCCCCCCAGGTGGTAGTACGGCTTCCACAATTCTGGCTCTTTCAATTGAATAAAACAACACGTCAGGTTTGCTGGCTACGTTAATGCAAGACAGAATGTGCTGCCAGATACGGGTGAAGAACAATGACTTTCCCCACTTTTCTCACACCTTTTACTCTTCTACTTTGAAAAATCACAACTTTTGAAGTATGATTTTCTAGTATCATAGGGAATATTCATTTTATAGTTTCCTGTAAAAATTAAACGTTTTTCTTTTCACACCAGCGTTTAAAGCGTCTTAAAGTTTCCAATCTTTCCGTTTGGAACATTAATCTTTCCAATCCAAACTGACACTTTCTCCTCAAATTTCTCCTAATCAGAACACCTGCTGGTTCTTCATTTTGTGTAATAAACTTAAGGAGAAAACTTAACTAACGTCAAAAGTAAAAAGTTTGCAAACCTACTCTCTACAACCTCACCCTGGTTGGATTATACTAATCTTGTGCATAAATTAACTTATGTAAAACTCTCCAAACCGAATTGCCTCATATCTTGAATCAAACTATCTATGTACCTCCTTATGTGCAGGCACGAAGGCAACACTGTACGAGTATGAACTTCTTCAGGACATGTTCACCAATTATAGCTCAATTGTGCGCCCGGTGATCAATGCTTCGGAGTCTATAGAGGTCAGGCTGGGTGCTGCTCTCCAGCAGATCATAGAAATGGTAAATTTGGCGATAGGCAGACAGTGAACAAAATGACAATTTTTGAATTTAATTCGATGTATATGGCTTGTAGACGGCTACTTTTAACTTTATATTGTTGTTCAACTTAAGGAATTAAATTAACACGGACTGGTTAATTGGTTAGAAAAGTACTTAAGCCTATGATATAGACTCGCGCGACAGCTTGCCAAAGGTACTTCAATACTAAACATATGTGTTTGCTTTCAATTTCCAAACACCTGATAATAGGATGAAAAGAACCAAGTCCTGACTGTTAACCTGTGGATGCGAATGGTAAGATGGGTACATTATAGTACTACTAGGTAGATTCTTCGGATCCGAACTATAATAACGGATATTATTCAGGAACCAATGAGGATTCCGATTCAGTTTCAGATAAAAAAAGACACATGGCCTTCAAAGGGAGCATTAACTGTTGAATACAGACAGCATAATGCAACATTGTTCCAGGGGTTGATATCTGCTTTCAAAGAAAATCTGGTCTTCAACAAGTAAGGCATATGTGCATCTGTGCATGTCTGTCAGTATACTGTACTCGTATACTGTACGAAATTCCTTGAAGTTGTTCTAGTTAATCACAAATAGTTTAAAGTTGGATAAAAGTCCTCAATGTTTTGACGAAGGTGTCTCCCATGAGTTTTGAGACTAAGGAACTTGCACATCTATTTTCTTGCAACCTCGTCAACAGTGAAAAAACATTAACTTACTTTTGTGCGTTCGTTTATTTTTCAAAACAGCAATGGACAGACAGTAACTTCCTTTGGGATCCAGCTGATTACGGTGGTACTGACACACTTATCGTCCCTATTAATTCTATTTGGAGACCAGATATCGTGCTATACACGAAGTAAGTTTACCCTTACTACTGATTACGTTTACTGTAAACTGATTTATGAGGACAACTACTGCTTACAAAGCAAGTAATATGCTTCGATCTTTTCACATGACCAAATACTTCGAGTCGCCAGATGATCAGGAACTGGGGGAACAGACACAATGACCAGTCCGAATAAAAGTTGTTTTATATTTGCAAAAAATTAGAGTGAGGTAGTTGGGGGCTGCTTAATTTCTCCGCCTCTTCGGAAAGCATATAAAACGCCCCATAATTCAACCTCACCCCTCAAATGACAAAGGGCTACGTTATGTAATAACCCAAAGTTTGCCGTACTCAAGGACACAATCACAAAAAATGCACAGAAATCACAAAAATGCACAGAGAGCAGCAATTTCTTTCGCCAAAATTATTTTTATGAAATTTCAAAACGTGCTATATTTAAAAGGCCACAGCTGATGTAGAACATGATTTTAAAGCCCCTGACCTGAAGAAACAAAATACAGTAGTCAGGATTCACATAATTTCTTTACTATTTTGTTTGTAACAGTGCTGACTCTGGATTCAGTGGCATGATGGAAACTAATGCAGCTATCACCAACACTGGCATCGTGTACTGGAACGCCCCAGCCATCTACACCAGTACCTGCAAGATAGACGTATCCTTTTTCCCATTCGATGAGCAGCGCTGTCCGCTGAAATTCGGTTCCTGGGCCTACAACGGCTTCCAGATCGACCTGGTCAACCGCTCCCTTTCAGGAGACACCTCGGCTTACATCGACAATGGGGAGTGGGAGCTGGTCGGCATGCCCGTGAGAAACAACATCGCCTACTACCTCTGCTGCGTGGCGCCTTTTCCCGATGTCACCTTCACCATTGTCATAAGGCGTCGGCCTCTCTTCTACCTCTTTAACCTCTTAGTCCCTTGCATGCTCATTTCGTTGATCACCGTGCTGGACTTCTACTTACCGGCGGACTCTGGGGAGAAAGTTACCCTTGGTATCACCATCTTGCTTGCCCTTATTGTGTTCCTGCTTCTTGTTGCGGAGACAATGCCGCCAACCTCTGAAGTTGTTCCACTCATTGGTAAGACTACCAGTACTAGAAGAAAGCATTAAGAGTCATTTTAAACTTGAACCATGTGGAAAACATTGTTTTGGAGTTGCTGACAATTTGAAATGTTTGAACTTTACAATCTTGCGAAGAGATTAATCAGTCAATGCTTACCGTTATTGATAAAATGCGGGTTTACTGCAAAATGTCAATCTTTGAGTTTGCCGCTAATATATCATGAAATCACACCTAAATGCGCAACAGGGGATCAACCCGGGCCTAGAACAGTAAGAACAAGCGTGAGGAAACAGAAATTTACTTGTAGTAAAAAAAAATTGAACAACAAATTCAAATAAAACTTGGATAAATGAATTTTGTTTCTTCTCGCCCTCTATGATAGAAAAACGGTGTGACTTATTTTGAAACATTACTGGCATACATGAAGCTTGGATTTTGTCCCAAAGCCTGACTTACAAACTGTGGGATTTTCAAATATCTGTTATTAATATTATTGATAGGTAGTACAAACTGGTGTGTTAACCAATAGCCCAAACCTACCATTACATGTACTTATAAACTGAATACCGGTCTCAGTCCTCCGCGACAACTTCCTTCTCGTCAGCTCAACTACCCCACATACAAATCAATGTTTACAATCCAGTCAAAATAACTGGTGTAGTTCCATCAGACATGTATTGTTAATAATTATTAATAAATCATCTCATTGAGCTGAACTTTGCCAGAATCCACAACGTTACAATATAGGACATGGTGTTGGCCGGGGTTCTTGACTGTAAATCTTTTCTTTTTAGAGTCAGTAGGTACTTGTGATGGGTACTTTTATCATTGTGTCTTGTTGTTCTTGGCACTTCTTGCTGAGAAGTTTCTGCTTTTCTTAACTGCATATAAAATGCCCATTCGGGACCTTTTCTATACTACAGGTCAGTACTATCTCGCTACTATCGTCCTCGTTTCTGGCTCTACGGCGATGACAGTCTTTGTGCTGTACCTTCACTATCGCCTGCCAGGCACCAAGCCAGTGCCTTCCTGGCTCCGGACCCTGACCTTCCACTACCTTGCCCGAATACTTTGTCTCCGCTCCGCTGTCAAGGTGGCACCAGATGCTCAAAGGTCAGAGGTCGTGGAGAACAACCACTTCTCCAACGGCAATGCTCAGAAAGACAAGAGCTACAAGACCAACGGAAACAATATATCCACGGTTACCTTGCCGCCCTTAATCTCCGAGAGGTTTGAGAGGAACGTCAATTCCATCCTTGACGAAATCAAGTACCTAACAAATCGGGCAAAGGAGTCGGACAGTGAGGAGGACCTCCTTACTGAGTGGAAGTATGTGGCCATGGTCTTTGACCGCATGTTCATGTGGATTTTCTTGATCACCACCATTGTAACGACCATTGGTATTCTCTGCCAACCCAAGCCGTATACACTTCGAGAAGACTTATAAGTTTTATTAAAGAAAGACTTTAAAAACGATATGCCAAGAATGTCCCAAGCATTGGTAGTGAGTCAGAAAAGAAGGGTAACCCATATGTGAATGGGAAAAACAAAACAAAGAAGTACGTCATATTACTTGTTACTGCTGTCAGGTTGGAGGTCTACATTAGCCCTTCGTTCTTGGACGTGACAGGTCACCGCAATTTCTGTCCCTGCAGGATCAAACTCGGGGAGAATGCAAGAATTAAAGCAGCTCGAGGGCTATGTATTTGTGGGTATGTAGAGTGATGTATCTTTCAGTATTTTAGGCTCAATGACAATGACACATTGTGACTGATTGACGATTGAAAATGTAACGATGTTTCAAAACAATTCATATTTCGGAGGTTATCAATGAAACTTCGCACTACCTTTCCACCCGGAACAACAGACGTTAAATTATACAGGAGGTACCAAAATCATTTGCTCCAGTCATGTACCGTTGCCAATGTGATATATGTTGATTTATGCTGAAATTACATTCGGTAGTTCACCGTTTCCCAGCTTTGGTCTCGTTAGAATGATATGGAACAATCTCTAAAATAAGTTCCAATTAAACTATGGCGATAAGTTTCAATACTTGGTCGGAATTTCTTGTTGTTTAATTACAAGTGAAATGATACAAATTAAATATTATTGTATTATAGTAAATATTTGTTAGCATGCAGTTACTTTGTACTATCCTTATTAAAAACGTGTCTTGCATTTTCTAAAACTGGTACACTGGGATACAGTACTGTGCTTCTGATTACAGTTATTGTAAGTTATTGTCTTTTGCTGGACTGATTCACATGTAAAATAAAATATTTACATTTAGAGCAAATAGTAGTGAAACACATACAAACAATACATTGTTGGCAGCTGTGTAGGTTTATCCAACGTTTCGAGTCGTTTAATTAACGTGACCTCTCTTCTTCAGGAATCCGAGAATGAAAGTTAAAAAAAAAACACACACACACAAAATAACAGCATTGGAGTAATTGTTGTGGGTTGAAGGACATAGAATAAAGGCAAAGGGGTTCTCTCAGATCATGTGAAGCTGGAAAATAAGTGTGCGAAAGAGACTCACCTGAGTGGGTGTGTTGAGTGATAATGTCGAAGCATTATATACACATGTATATGCTGTTATGTAGTACCACATACCAAACTAATGATCCTACTTTAAACTATATGAAGGACTGCCTAATACAGGCGACTCTCCTCCAGTTTCAAAAATTTCATAAAGTTTCATTTTCGGACGCCATATGTACGGAAAGATGCCTTAATTTGTGCTTTCAGGTAAGAATTGCAGTTCAACTCCAGTTTTTCCTATTACAGATCAGTGTAACATACCACAAGCATACTAGATTTCCACGTATGAAAACCTTTCTGGAAATACCACTTACTTTAAATTCTTTGTTTGTAGTAGAAGTATAGACAGAATTCACCATAGCTAGCAGACAGAAGCTGTTCTCCCTTTGCATATCTTTACTATTGTAAATTAATGATACCAAACATTTTTTTTACTATTTATATGCATGAATACATTTAAAAGTCAAATAAAGTCATAATGTTACATTTGTTGTGTTTACTATGCCGTCACTTTCCTTTTTAACCATTAATGTAATATACAGCTTGTATGCAGGGTCTTGGTTCCTTGTCAGCGATTTACAAAGATATATTTTCTTTAAGTCGTACCGGTATTGCCTTTATCCGCAGTTCTGTGTTATTCTAGATTAATTCCATTGAATTCGTCTGGTCTGTGCCCTCCCTTATACAAACCACTCAGGCTAAAAGGCTAAAGGAGATAGCAAATAAGGGGAACCAGTGGGTCAAAGGAAGTGTGACATTGTTTCGTTTAATAGAGACGAGTAGCCACCAACAGAACGCGAATGATAACTAAAATGAGGAATGCCTTAAACAAAAGTTATCGTATCCAATGGAAGGGTTAACGTATTGATTTAAAGGAACGCTCTGCTTTATTGTTGGTGTCTTTCCTTCCATCGTACAACGGACAAAAGAATGTCGACAGGTGGACTTTCCTCGATCTGAAAGGAATTCCTTGTGAGGACCGGCACCACCATTCAAATCACACTTGACACGCTGTGACTGCGCCTCAAATGAGTCCCCTTTGCTTACACTGCCCTTACGATGGGCTTACTGAGCAGGCTACTTGGTGTGAGATGAGATACGTAGAAGATATCGACTGACACTCTTCGTATAAACCAAGTCCTGTAGGAATTGATTAGAATTATTTTGGACAAAATTAACCAACCTTCTCATTTGGCTGTTGCTGGGTCACTTTTTGTAATACCTGACCCTGGCACAAAGCCATGATTGCTGGCAGAGCCATTTTGCTGTGTTTTGCCCTATGGATGACCTGTAAGTACAATGCCGTTTATTCTTCTGTTTTTGGCTGTTTGCCATTTTCTTTAATAAAATCAGGACAAGAATAGGATGCAATATGTCGAAGCACACAAGTGGAATATTTTTTATGTAAATACTTTATGGTAGGGCCTGCAACAACATACTTTTTCATGGATCGAACACCCTTTCCTTTCCATCACAATTAACACGTGTTTAGGGTGAGTGTATTGCGTCAAGGATGGCACTTTCAAGATCTTTCAGTGTTTCAGAGTGCGATTAAGCATGTACATGGGCAAAATAAGTACCTGGGTAAAAAAAAAAACAAAAAAAAAACTCAATAATAGCCATACTTCAGCGTTTTGATACAGTCTGGGACAATCAAGGGATTGACACACGTTTTCGAAAATTCATTATTGGAGATAAAACATTTAATAATTAATAAGCTTAATGAAATGTATATAAGACGTTGATTACAACTCTATTTCACAGGGTAAATCTCCCTTTTCACAGAGTAAATGGTTCTGAGTTTGATGCCAACATTTAGAGTGGTTAGTTTCTTCAGGGTTCATTTATGGTGAATTTCCAAGGTTGCTTTCCGATTATGTTTATGAGGTCTTGATGCCACACCAGACGAAGCCCGGCTTTTTGCTGACCTGTTTCAGTGCCTCAATCCCGCGATAAGACCAGTGGACAATATCAGCGAACCAGTACTTGTGACAGTGGGAGCTGCCATCCAAATGATCGTGGAACTGGTGAGTTTTCGAAGTTATAGAAATTTTTATGTTAAGAATCAACATTGCCTAAACCAATAAACCAAAACTTACAGGTTTACGCAGCAATAATTACTGCAATGGAAAGCTCACCAAACGAATGGGGGGGGGGTTACAAACACAAACAGAAGAAAACAACATTGAAAGTTAACAGCAGTGGTGCACCCCCTCCCCCGAGGTTTTCTGTTTTGTTTTTCAGTTTCTGAAAAGCGCAATTACAATATACGATTCTATATTTTAAAGTACCAGCTCTGTTAAGTCCCAATTCCCTGTGACACAACGGAGGGGGGGGGGCGGATGAACACTGACTCTATTTGGAGTGGCAAATTCTAGACTGAGCTCCCCCCCATAAATCATGTGTTTGCCTCTGTTGACAGTAAAAACTGTGACACGATAGATACGAGTTGGGTGTACTCTGGCCACCCGCTGTTTCACAATATCAGAAAACAATTAGGATTGAGTGAAATCATTAATTCAGTCCATTAACGACTGCATTACCTTTTACAGGACGAACGGAACCAGCTAATTACCACGAGCTTGTGGATGCGGTTTGTAAGTATATGCTAATGGCTAATAACTTGTTTCTATCACCGCGTTTGATTATCACCCCCCCCCCCCGCTTGATACCGTGGTGTCACAGGTTCAGACGGGTACGTGCAATCTGTGGCGAAAAGTGAAAATGGTCCGTGCTGGAGGTATCAAACTTGGTCGAGAGGTTAAATTTGCATCACGAATTTTAGGTGTCGAATCCACACACGTATTACTGACTTTTATTTCAACAAACTTGTGAGTCAAATGGACTCTACATGGAGTGATTTATCATAACTGTTTAAAACAGTATCAGGTTTCTTTTGCATTTTCGAATCAACCACTTTTCTCGCATCGCACAAAGTGATACTTTCGCAAGTTGCCGGCTTGGCTGGTTGGTTACAGGGGCAGCCCTGACTGAGTGCTAATAGTCAAATGAATGTCAAATCGAACGACGCAAGTCGGGCTTGCGTGAGTAAGCGCAGAGGAAGTAATCGAATGCACTTAACAATAATTGATCCCATTAGGGTTTCCTAATTAAGGTATAGGCTGATATCGCACGCACATTCTGACTCTTATTTATTCAAGTTTGAAACGCATTTATGAATCATTTTTTTTTACATATGCTGTGATAAATCTTAAGTAAGTTCCACAAGGATGGATAAGCACCTATGATAATGGCAAATCACTGAGATAAAGTTTGGCTACGGCTTTCATTCTGTTGTGCACTGCTTCTAGCATACCAGATCACACGACGTTGCATTCAAAGATCTACTAAGTAGGGGTTACACACATGAGTAAAATGTGGACGTACGGTACTTGTGTTACGCCAAATTTCCGACGCATGTAGAAGTTTAAAGATTACACTCAAGAAAAGTGTTTATTCAAAATAATTTAAACAATAATATTAAATAAACAGAAATTAACCTTTGCATGTTGACGATGGACGTGGCAAAATTCCAACGTTTTAATAGAAGTTGCAACTGTACTGCCTAAAATAGGGTAAGACCCAATCAGGCAATGGAACTGTAAAAACCGTTCAAGCTACAGTTAATGTTTCAGGTAAATGAGGAAAAAACACTTTACAAAAGGTAAATTTTCCCTTACTTTTGCTCACTACTGTTTCTTTATAGTCGTGGGAAGATTCGCAGTTGCACTGGAATCCTGACGACTACGGTGGTGTGAAGAGTTTTACTGTCCCACTTCACAATATCTGGAAACCAGACATTGTCCTTTACAACAAGTGAGTTAGAATTCATCATTTTTAGCACAGCTTCCAGATGTTGTTAATCACTGTACTTCAGCATAAGCGGGGAAAATAATACTTTTTGAGCGTAAAATAATATTTTTTTGCAAACTTGTAAAAATAGAATTGTATTCAAAACCAACAAAACTTGAGGATGAAACTGGTGCATCGTTTATGGATAATCTGTAAAGGTACTTTCATCGCTATACCGTTCCCTTCTCTTGTCAATGCTTGAGCGTGGACTATTTGCCTGGTACCCTTACACATCTGCATAACGCTTAGTCTGTATGGTTTTTTCCTTCCTCCCTTCCCCCCTTTCCTCTCCCCCTTCCCTCCTCTCAAGGTCCTATTATCCCCTCCCATACCCTCTCTGCACATTATGCCTCTCTTTATCGTTACCCCTGGTTCATTATTTTTACCTGATTTTTATGATTCCTACAGTTCTTGGAATGTAATTCCTGTTGTTTGTATGAAATGGCCGAATAGATAAATAAGTGAATAAAAACTGCATCCTTTCATCGAAGTGGTTTTCATGGATAATATTTATATCAACTTTAATTGTTCATAGCGCCGATGCAGAATTCCAGGGTATGATCGACACTGGGCCAAGAATTAGTCACCGCGGCATGGTCTACTGGAATACCCCCGCACTCTTCAAAAGTTCTTGTCACCTCAACATGGCTTACTTCCCATTTGATGAACAGCGCTGCTTTCTCAAGTTTGGCTCCTGGAGCTACCACGGCTTTGAAATCGACCTCACCAACAGAAGCGTCAGTGGTGACATGTCCAACTTCATCGATAACGGCGAGTTCGACGTCATCGACATGCCAGTTTCTAGGAACTTGGTGTACTACAAATGCTGCCCGATGCCCTTCCCCGATATCACCTTTACACTTGTGCTTAAGCGAAGGCCCTATTTCTACCTCTTCAACCTCCTGCTGCCAAGTCTACTCGTTTGTTTTGTCACCGCCCTGAATTTCCTCCTGCCTGCTGACTCAGGGGAAAAAGTCAGCTTGGTTTTGACTGTTCTTTTGGCAATGACGGTATTCTTACTGTTGGTTGCGGAAATCATACCGGCTTCTGATGCTACACCAGTTATTGGTAAGTTCTAAAGTGTGTTGGGCAGATAAGAACTACGTCACTGTGTATACAATGCAGCAAAAATAAAACCCCTCTGGAACTTCTAAACCAGTAATGCTCACCTGAAATATCGGTGTAAAACAACTTGCATTAAATGCATGGATCGCAGGGGTGAGTGCACAAATTAGATATGCCAAGGAAACAGACTTGATTTTTCCAATAAAAGAACTTATTTCTAAAAGTGTTGCAAAGAACTACAGGGAATGTTTAATTATTACACAAATGAACTACTTTTCATTTCGTTTCATTTTTCGTGATACGCTTACAAAGACATTCGAATCCACAAAAGACACAAAAAACATTAGAAATGAAATAAAGGATGCAATATTTAATGGGGCTCTCAAACTGGTTATATAAGAGATAAGGAAACAATTAAAATTGGAAACAAATATTTGTAAATGCAAAAACATCAAGAAATGTTAACGTAACAGCATAGAAATACAACATTGATAAAATAATTTCAATTAATACAGCTATGAATAAAAAATATTTGAAACTAGATTGAAATAAGAGTCTAAAATTACTTTAAGTGCACATATGAAAAAACCTGTTCAGTCAAGGCAGTGGAAAACCATGGGAAACAACATACACGTACATAGAACCTTACAATAACAACAACAAAAATTATTGGGTGACCTTAAAGGATTTGTCCCTTTTGTTCTTTGTTCAGGTAAATACCTCATCTCCACTATCGTTATCGTCTCTCTGTCCGTTGTTATGACAGTCTTCGTGCTTCACCTTCACTATCGTCTCCCTGGGGCTAAGCCCGTGCCCCTTTGGCTCCGCAAGCTGGCTTTTGTTTACCTGGCTTCATTGCTTTGCGTCCAGGTGTCCTACAGCCATGGCAAGCCGGTTTTACCGTCACACTTCAACGGCAACCCCCACCCCCACCCTGTCATCACAACCCAGAACGGCAAGAGGAAGAAGAGGTCGTGGTGGATTTCCACAGTAGACGACAATCCCGTGTTCGCTGAGCTGGCACGAACGGTAGCGGCTATCAACGACAACCTGCATACCATAGTAACACGAGGCAACGAGCAAGATGCGGACGACGACATTCTGACGCAGTGGAAGTATGTTGCGCTGGTCTTCGATCGTCTCTTCTTTTGTGTCTACATTGTACTCACGTCGATGACAGCCGTGATCATCCTTGGTCAATCTAAGTATTACTCCGAATAAACGCAAAATTGTGCCCTGTTTTTTCAAGGGGGACACTGTTGGTCACGATGAAACCCAATATTACTTCACACTTCACCAGATGTTACGTTTTAGTCCATGCGATGCTTTCTGCATATTGACGAATCGGCTAAGTTTTGCCTACCCATTCCCGATGGCCCTTTTCAAATGCTTAAAAGCATTGTGTTACAGAACAGATGTCGTTCAACAATTATCACTGTGCTCATCGTCATAAAAGGGATCACAGAAAATAACTAGTGACAGAGCTACTTTGTATGGTCATCGGATTAGTCTATTCTCTGTACGCGGCACGTGCACTCAGCCTGCTTGCATACTGCATTAAAATGCCCGCGGACCATCCAGATTTGTCAAACAATCCAGAGGAGCAACAGTCTCAGAAAACAAAACATTAGTTGCATTTTTTTGTGATGGATAAGGAGTTTACCTCTCAATGTTTTGACCAATGTACCCTATCGTTATTACAAATGTAATAGCTTAAATGTAGGACAGTCTTTTTTGGCCCATTGTTGGCACAAAATGGCTACACCAAGTCTTCAAACCATTTTGCTGAACCAAATTTTGCTTGAACGTACTTTCTTTCGGTAAGTAGTTTATATTTTGGGGCTTAATGTTATATCCTAGCATACCAAGTTAGATTTTGCAAGATAACACTCGGTTATTTTATGTTTACGTACTTGTTGGAGAATGTTGGGACTCCATCGGTTTGTAAATTGTGGGAAACCTTTTCCAGACCTGTTGGTATATCACCGTCATGCGGATGGTTGATTTTCCCCCCTGATTTCTGTTAGGTAAATTTATTTATTCTCTGTTTGTTTTTGCTAATTCTTTGGTAAAGTTTGATTCTGACATTATTAAGGCCGTCATGCCTTTTGCTTTGGTTTATTTATACTGAGTTTGTTTAACTATTTTGCATAAGAATTTGCACGTTATATGCTTGTATTTATTAAACACAAATTACAGTAAGTCGTTGTTGTTCAAACGTAATTTTATATTGGGTAGTTATCTGTAGTTTAAGCTCTTTCTCACGTGTTTCTGTATCGAATAGAATAAAAGTGCTACATTTCCAGAGGTATTTAATGTGAGGATTTATTTTTCGTTATTATTTTTCATTATTCTTCATGACGATTTTATTTCTTTGTTAGTCACACCCATGGGAGAACCCGAGCATGTATCCCTCATAGTAACAGAATTTTAGAAACGTATAAAAGAAGTCAAGTCTTTCACTTAAAAAGAGGAAGGGAATTAACACACATGATCCAATCTCAACCGTCAAAATACTTCTAAACGGCACGGTTTCCCCCAAATCAGCCCTGAAGACAGTTCCAAGAAACTGATAAGTAATTGTATGTTGTGCTGCACAGGGAGGCTATTTTTTGCGAAAAAGCCACTGGTTGCTGACTTCGTGTTTTGCTCAATGTGTTTTGACATATAAAATTATTTTGAAGGCTTGTTTACTACATACATGTAAATGCTGTGTGCGGCGCCCTGGCCTTTGGCCAGGACACTGACAGACGTTTGTTGTCACATGGGGGCTTTTAGAGTGGCCTCTAGCCATCTGGTTCATTCGTTTGGTAGAAACATGTGTCTACTTTCTTTGGTATTATTAGGTAATTGGGCTACCTTCATGCACACAAGACTTGTCTGAAGGCTGAAGCTGATGATGTCATTAGACCAGAAGTTGCAATAAAAAGACATATAAATAAATTCATTGTAAATCAACCATGAGAGAAATTGTTCTGATTTTTCCATCAAATGCCATCAAATGAAAAAATAAAGATGACAATGTTGTTTTGAACAAACCCTAAAACGTTAATAGTTTAACTAAAAATAAGTAAGGAAAAAAACAACCTTGGTAGGGATCATATTGGTATAACTGTTACAGACATCATACCAACCCCTAGAATCACCCTTCAATTTGTAGCCAAGCTCGCTCCATTATCCCTAACTCCCAAATCCTCCGATTTCAATATGATTTTATATACACCCTGGGGAGTTAGGGTTAAAGTAGCAGCACCGTTGCTTATTAAAATGCGATCCCAACAAAGACACTTAATTGACTTTCATTAATCTCTAACAGTTACACGTTTTCCCTACACTGATCCAATATCGGTCAATTTTGATACCTTGTTGATACATTATCCTTTGATCAATACATAGTTGTCATAAGTCAAAAGTGATATATGGTGCACAAGGTTTTGCTTTTAACTGACCAACACTGAACAGGTTTTTTTTAAATCCGAAAATGTTGGTGTGTCAGCAGCTCTGGGAAAATGTCTCCGAACTTATCGAAGTTGCCCAGAGCACCGATGATTGTCCACACCTATAAATATGTACACTAAGTAGTAGCCACATTTAACAGCGAATGATATCATTGCTCCACCAGCAACTTTCTGATTAAGTGGTCATTTGTGGGTTTGAAGCCACGCTTTTATCAGGTACCAGCACATTACTTTTTTCTTGAAAACTGCATATTTTGCAAAGCCATTACTTTTATGGGGCTATACTAGACCAATGAATGCAAGGATTCCCGTATGTTGACAGTGCCATTAAATATTACGAGAGCACTGGTGATTGTCGTTGTTATTCAACAAATACGTTAAATTGGAGCTTGCAGTCTTATTTTCGTACAGCTGGAAGGTTTGTGTCTTTTCACCATGTCAGGAATGCGCATTTCAATGTTGATGCTGTTTGTTGTCGGTAAGTAGCACAAAATAATTTTGTCGAGGCCATTACCTTATAACCTATTAATACGAATTCTGTAGAGTTCACGAAAACAACCATTATGGGAAGTGAGTATGTTTTACACAATTGAAGTATAACACTAAACTTGTATAAGACTTCGCTTTGAAACCCATGCACCTCTCGATCTAGCAAGCAAACGAACGTGTGGTTGTGTCAAAGTTAAATCAGGGGCCTAATCGTTCTGCGTCACAGGAATGAAGAAAGCTCCCGACAATAAGAATTTGTATATATAAATCTCGACCAGTAACAAGACCACCATTCCAGTACATTCTATATTTTATATTTTACACTCTGGAAAAACTCAAAAGAGTATGTAGATTAATTTTATCAGCGTTTTAAATTTTCTAGAAAAGATTGACCTCAGTATCTCTATGGGACAACTTGCTTCAAATGTCAATACATGTGACATATTCGGTCGGTTTCGAGTACTTTGTGTGTAAATCAGGGCCACTACGGTAAATTATTTTAAGTTGAATTTAGGTTTTACCCAGGCTTCAAATTTAATTGCAATTTAAAAATAGAATGTTAATTTAAAGTCAACCATCACACACATAGCCACAAATATTTGGCCAAGTCGTTATGTCGTTATGAACATTTAGGTTTTTCTCCAAAGTACGACCCTAACATGTGCAAATTTGGACAATAAATTATGTTTGGACTAATATTAACATTTGGGAGAGTATAATGTAAACGTCGTATGACCACTTTGATTTGAGCTGCACCTCAATATACAACAGACAAAACTGGGTGTGCATACAAATATCCAACATTAATTAACACCCACACGAGGTATTACTATCTAGTTAATATAGGGAATGGCACAGCCGGGCGCTCTGCTCACCAGCGTAGGACACCTGAAGAGCAACGCCTGATGAACGACCTGTTTAAGAATCACAGTTCCATCGTCTGGCCTGCGAAGAACCGAAACGACACCATTGTTCTCACTTGCGACACAGCCTTACAGACAATCGTGGATTTTGTAGGTTGACTGCATTCCTCTCACTAGTTTTAACTTGAGGCATGGGAGAGATGGAAAAATAAAATTAAAGCAGACGAAAAAAATGCAATGAACCATGAACTATATTGCAAATTGAAATCAACCAGAAACCATTAAACAAGCCAGAAAATTACGTGATTTAATGGTCTTGTATTTTTCAACTTGTATTAATTAATTAAAACCTTAACATGCCCAACTCTTGTCTTTTCGGATGGAACACGAACTTGTAACACAATTACTTCGAAATTATTGTTTATTTTTTAGAACCAGAAGAAACAATCTCTACAGACGAGTATGTGGCTTCGATTTGTAAGTGTAAACATCTAAGGCGAACTGTTGTTTATATACTGTGATGTTTTTCTAATACTGTTTTGACAGTATAAAACGAGGATAATAAAACGTGAGAAAAGTGATACAGGAACCGATAACAGCTACCACAGATATGGCACATACCTATGAAAGTGGCTTGTCGACAACTTGCTGCTCCAAAGAAAGGCCTAAAACATACATAACTTTGTCTCAATTTATCAAAGATAATAGTTTTACTATTCTCATCACTTTTTCGTCACTTTCTATTTATGTTACTTTGTTTCAATTCTGTTTTAGGAATGGACAGATAACCATTTTCACTGGAACCCTGAAGACTACAGTGGAATAAACAATCTCGTCGTTCCCCTTGATTCTATTTGGAAGCCAGATGTTTATCTCGGTCAAAGGTAATTATCCGCGTAAGCCTAATAATTATAAGCCTCCTGCAAATTATATTAAAAAAATGGCGCTGTTTATACTTAGGGATGTAGGGCACCCAAGGCAGTGTGTCCGTTGACGGACCAGTAGCAGTCGGTGACAGTATGAAGACATCGTGCAAAAAAGTGAAAAGAAGATAAAGAATATGACTGATGGTGGGTTCGTACCCATAGTAATAATAATGATGATGATTAAGAGAGTGCACAGATCCACAAAGGTGCTTAAAGCGCTAGTACAATGAAATAAGTTTAATACCTCATTGAAGAGAAGAGTCTTCATAACCTTCTTAAACTGTACAAGAGGGGAAGATCACAAGTGTGCCAGTAAATTGTTCCAATACAAGGTGCAACACATGAAAAAGAGCGATCTCCCCATGAATGAAATGACCTGGGTTCTCTAAAAAGATTCATATTACTAGATTGAAGTCTACCCATCTTGAATGGAGACGAAGTTCTGAACTTGCAAATGTTAGACAAAACTGAACCTGGACAAAGTTTGCCTCGATTGCTACGTGACCTCCAAGTCAAATTTTGCATCTGATTTCCTGCTAATGTACGTACCGTTCCAGGGGCGGATCCAGGGATTTTCCAGGGGTTGTCAGGCCGGAGAATTTTAATGTCTCATTTTCCGGACAAGTGCAAACCATGATCAAACATTAAACATGACTTACATTGTTTACAGTTATATTTGGTGCACTCTATTTTTTTGGTCATTAATTTTTTTCTCCCTTTATATACATTTATATATATTTTGTCTCAGACTACAGGGTTCGACATCCCCGGTTCTGCGCCTGCCTCGTTATTATGCAAAATACCAATTTATTTGTTAAAACATAATATTGAATTCTAGTGGCGAGCAACTTCATGGACACGAAGCTGATATAAATTTTAGTACTCTACAGTCTACAGCAGTGTGTATATGCATCACACACTGATATAGCATTTTAACCGTTTTGATGGAGCTCGTGATACTTACAAACACAGTACACAAAATCTAGACGTAGAAGGGTGGTTGTTATTGCACTGGAATAGCATCAAAAATGAAGCGAAATTCACATTACTTTGATGTTATAAAGAAAGTTTAAATGCTAGACGCCTCCTAGATTGCTGTTCTTCACCACATCTGGGTGATGGGGTCCCGAAAAACAGAGATGAGACAAAATAATCGGACACAATTACAACGTAGAATGTGCGGGCAAAGTGACAGAAATGTGTTCATTGCAAGTATGAGCTACATTTGCGTTTTACTGTTTCTTAACACTAGCCGTAAAAAAGGTAACAACGGCGTAGCTGACAGCCATCCACTGGTGACAAGCGGTGGCGTCGTCTACTGGAACACGCCAGCGAACCTACACACCCACTGCCGAATAGATGCGTCTTACTTCCCGTTTGACGAGCAACGCTGTCTGCTGCAGTTTAGCTCCTGGTCCTACAACGACGATGCCCTGCACGTTGAGGTGAAGAACCCATATGGAGATATATCGAAATATCAGGACAACGGGATATGGGAACTACTTGCGGTGTTGCAGAATGCAAGTGTAACATATTACAACTGTTGCCCAACGCCCTACAGTACCTTCACCATCACTATTATCTTGAGGCGTCGGCCACTGTTCTACATATCCAACTTACTCATACCCTGCCTTCTTATCGTGGCTACCACCTTGTGCAGCTTCTTGCTGGCTGTGGATTCAGGTGAGAAGACCAGCTTGGTAGTGACCAATCTGCTGTCTCTTATTGTCTTCATGAATCATCTATCAAATGCAGTGCCCTCAACGGCGGACGGGATCCCGCTCATGGGTAAGACAAGTCATCTGTGTTCTAATATTTCTATCGATTAGCCCAACAAAGTGCAGGGTGTGCAGTGCGAACGTATTGCTAATCCTAGGAAGACCATTGTCTATGATTCGATCATTCGCCTAGGACTGAAAAAGGGGAAAGGTCAACGCGACTACGGTTTTAGGAATTGGAGTAAGAATTGTGGAGCAATGTGTCTTTGAAAACCACAAAGTCATATAATATAGATTGAATAGTCACTGCATCACTATCCTGGCACAGCGGGGATGGGTAGCACCGACCAAACATATACTGCACAGGCCCGACTGCAATTTAATTCAGTACAGGTCCGGGAACTGTCACTTCGTCAACACAAACTCGTGAATAATTCTAAGACCCACGAGGCACGTATGTAGTTCATTACAAGGCTGTCTTGGTGAGATTCTACGTTGTTTGAAAACACACACGCATGCCAAAAACGTGTAGGAAAGACTCGTTTCTTGAACTTTAACCTTGATTGTTTTCTTGGTACTTTTTATTTTTATGTGTATCCAGTTAAGTACATCGCAGTTACAATAGCCATAGTGTCCATATCCATGGTTGTTACCATATGGGTTCTACGAATTCACTACCAGCCAAGTCTGGTAACGCCGGCGCCAGGGTGGCTGAAGAGGCTTACATTCACTTATATGGCTAAGCTCCTCCTCGTATGGGCACCACATTACAAAGAGGTGCCAGCAGCAGATGTTGCCAGAGGTGTACCTATCGTTCTGTTACCCTCTTACAGTCAACAGGGAGAATCCTCCTCTCCAGGGTCGCGCGTGGAAGATGCGGTTGCTGTTGTAAGCCAAAGGCTCAAGTGTCTCACCTCCCGTTGCAAGAGGAAGGACGCAGCCAAGGAGATCCTGTCGGAGTGGAAGCATGTTGCCAGGATCATCGACCGCATGCTCTTCCTGTTGTTTCTGGTGGTAACTATCGCCATGACCTCTCCGATTTTGCTACAGTCTAAGCCGCTCTCCACAGCAAAGCAAATTGCGATGTGGCAAGGGACCAGGCAGTGAGATGGCCATTTCAAGCCACACTCGCAGCGACCTATTCGGAAGCCATGTCGCAATATTGAAAGAGAACAAAAATTTCACGAAATTTGTCCTTGTTTTTTCTTAAAAGGAAGGTTTATTTAATGAATTACGGTATAGTCAGCACATATGTTGATAAACTTAACAGAGCGATTAGTGAGTATCTGGTCTGTAAGTGACTTTACCATACACGCGCACGCACCACTGATTGCAAGATTGCGAGCTTCCTTTGGACGAGCACTCTAGTTACACGTTACCTTTCGGTTCCATGGTACCATATAGCCGTACCTGCAGTGGGCGTGGTCTGAACTGAAGTAACGTCACACTTACGAACCGGATACGCTTGGTTTTTGTTTTGTACTCCGACATTTAAACAATCTTCAACACCTTGCTTTTTTCCTTTACTGTATTATAAGAGGGCCTGGCCCTTTCTTTCTTTTTCAAGAAGACTATCAAATGTCATTTTAAGACTGCTAAAACATTTAGCTCATGTGGAAATCTGGTGCAATTTTGTTTTGCAAGATTAGTGCGGGAAAAACAAGACAACTAGTTTTTATTTTAGTAAAAATTATAATTTATTATAACTGAGACACTTTAAACAACATCTATCTGTTATATAAAGACAAGCGTAATGAGGACTGGATATTTCCAGGAAGTGGAAATTAATTGACGAAACGACCTATGGTGCACTACTTGGCGGGAAAGTTTAACTGAAACACTTCCACTTTTAAAGTTAAGAAAACGCACATGCCACACACATAGTATAATAGAAAAGAGATGGGCGAGGGTAACATCTTGCGTCACCAGTTAAACTACCCAATTTATCATGCATGTTGTCGATACACATTAAATGCATGTGTATGAGGAACTGACTCTAAACATGTCAGATGAATGGGACCGCGTTCAATCCTCGACTATTGTGTCGAGTTTTGGAGCTAGGAGACCCTAGCTACCAATTTCTTCATCCTCCCCGCTGGTATTAAGTACCAGTATGAATAATTATACCAACTCGCTTAAACTGCAGAGACTCACCAGACACCATTACATGTAAATGAACTTGCTTCTCCCTTTTGTCTTTGAATAGGTTCCCCATCACTGACCATTATGAGATCTTTTAATGTTTAGTACTATTTTGTATTTGGTGTAATGAAGTCTTTTGTATCTAAAATTCAACTGTTTGTTATTTGAATGAACGATTGTGCAGTGTGTATGGATTTACAAATTAAACCAGTTCAGTATAAATTCATCAAGTCCATTTCGTTGGACCACAATCCTGGGTCTTATAGAGTGCAGGCATCGGAATTTTGTACTTTCCATGAGCATTTTAAAATGAATAACCAATATTTCTAATGCCAACAACACCATGGGTACGCAAAGTCATTGATCCTAGTCATAATTAAGGGTCATTTTAAGAATAATAATCAGTGACGTCATTACGATGGCCAAAGCAAAGAGCAGCATCAGCAATCTATCCAGGATCACGCACATGTCAATCCACTGTTGCTGGACCAAGGAAATCTTCTCCTTTCGCTTGCATCTGTTCACAAGCTTGTCGATATATCGGCCGATCCGCTGGACTGTCGCGCCGAGGCTGACTTCCGTGGCGTCCGTGCCGTACTCGGCGGCACCTTCGGCCATGAAGCCCCCCGGCCCGCCTGTGTCCTTGGCCCCGTAGCTCCCCGGCTCCAATTGCAGCTGCTGCAGGAGGCTCACCCCGAGGGCCTGGCTGTTCAGTAGGGAGTTTTGTTGGTCGTACTCGAAGAGGTCGTCACAGCGATGGGGGGCAGTCGCCTTCTCTCCCTCTAACTCTTCGCCGTCAGCACTGGTGTAGTCGTGGAAGGCATGGCGTCGTCCCTTAATTCGCAGGAAGTAGGCCAGGCGATCAAGAATGAGCTTACGAGCCCAACGAGGCGGGGGACGGCTGGGTATGTGGTGGTGCAGTCGAAGAATGACGACAGATCCGGCAGTTTCCAGGGACATGACAACGATGATAGTTGCCAGCAGTTGACCTTTAGTTTGGAATTTATGACAAATGGCGTGAAGGTCAAAAAATCTTTTAGAATTTCTTTTCTAAGTTCATGTTTGATCATCCCCTCCGAAAAGTTTCGTATCAAAAGAAAAATTAACAATTTTAGACAAGCAAAGGATCTCCTTTTCGGTGTAGTGTTTGCAGATTCGCCTAGTATTCCATGCATGCTCAAAGAGTGTAAACTTCCATTTTAGTTATGTGTAATGAACTAATGTAAAATGAAGCACTGGTACTTGATGAATGCATACTTGTTACTCTTCAGGCGAACAAAAAGTAATTTTGAAATGTGCTTCGCTAAGGTGGTTTTGTTATCATCCCAACAGTCTAGTAATAACGGCATTGACCATGTGTTTCACTCACCGAGCAGAGACACAGTGTCCGAAGTTGGCGGCAACAGCTGGGCCCCAAGCAGCAAGAAGAAGACCAGCGACAGCAAGACGGTGATGTTCAGGCCTATCTTCTCCCCAGACTCCGCCGGGAGGTAGAAGCTCAGGAAAGAGATCAGAGACATGAAGATGGACGGGAAGAGCAGACTGAAGACGTAGAACAGGGCCTTTCTGCGGAGCTTCAGCGTGAACGTGACATCGGAGAAGGGGTCTGGGCAGCAGCCGTACTCGACCAGGTGTGCGACAACAGGCATGTCCAGCAGCTCCCACTGGCCATTTGTCGTCATCTGCGACCAGTCGCCTTTTTCTGTAGTGAGCAGGGAAAACAAGCACACTTGAAAGGAACATTGACCACAATTTCCACACCTCAGATAAAGACCTTCCTAGTAAACATTCTGAATAAATTTGCACGTTTGACCTTAAGTACTCCAATTTTGATAACTGCTATGCTTCTAGATTTTGATGAGCACAGATAAGGAAACACTCTTTCAATTTTTTTTGAATTGAATTTCAAATGATAGGGTCAAAGGTTAAGGTAATGTGTCAAAGGGTATGGTGGCCCTCTTTTGACTAAACTTAATTTTGACAACATTGCTGATTTGAACAATAAATCGTCACTGTTTCCACGAGTATCATTTTTTTCGATTGTGATTACGTTCATGAAGTAAGGGACCAAAATCTCGATAAATGCATATTGCTTTTTAGAGTGTGACTGCCCCTCGTACACATATAAAACGTAAAACGACTGGAAAGGCCGAAAAGTAGGTCGAGTATCATTTTCGTTTACACGAAGAGCCACACATCCTTGCTACATTTACAGTGGCGCGTGCGTAAACACAATGTGCTCCTTCCCTATGAAAAATGCATTGCACAGAAGGGCCAACAAGTAGGAAAACGTCGATTTTCGATTTCAAGAACAGACGCACATGTTTACTTATTTATTTCGGCTGGCCACAATGTTCATTTTACTCACTTGGTTCAGGCAAAAGTTTACTTTACAAAAACACATTTAAGGGTTTTACTGCATAAATTTGTTCCATATTGGTATTTTTTAAGTTTTGAACTAAGAAAAGCTTCAAGGCGATTTGTCTAAAACCAGTTTTTCTTCAAAATCTACATGTGTGGCTCTTCGAAAACACTGTGACAACTTGTAATTATTTTGATAACAAATTAATGCAGGAAGTTTTGACGTACTTTTACTTCAAAGGTGATGTTTTAAACTAAATTCGTCACTTTTCTTGATCTCTTCCCTGACCACGCATAACGGCAGATCGTGCCAAAAATGGTAGTGTTCATTGCTCTTCAATATCTAGGAGCACAGCAGTTGTTTATCAAAGTCAGAAGACCCAAGGTCAAAAGGTGCATGCGTTGGTCTTATATGGAATGATCCAGCAAATAGACAAAACAAAAGTCGCCAGACAGGATAATAAAAATCCTTTCATTAAGTACCGCTAGTTTTGAACTGATTAACCGATAGAAAGCTCTTAATATCATTTAAATGTATACACCACTGAGATACTTAATCGGCGTTTGTCTTTGATTGGTTAATTGATGTCCCATTACTAATAAAGCTGGGCTTACAGCTTCACCTTCTTGTAAATAACTTGAGGGTAATCGTTTGAATGAATCATCCATGGGCCCTCTGTGTCCAATATCGGGAGGAATCTCACTGAAAATGGAAGTTTCCCATTGAATTGAATAACTCAGAATTAATATGTCAATTCTTGATCAGCACGCAAAAAGTAGAGAGTTTAGGAGCTCCTGACAAAGAGAGGTGTAGTGTTTAGTTGACTAAATGAAACCCCTTGTTAGCGACAAAAATCAGGGCTTCACTAACCATGTTTGGTATTTAGGCTCATTGGAAATGATTAATTTACCGTTACAGTGAAAAAATATTAACATTAATATAAAAAGTTGGAATAAAGGGAAAATTCCTAAGTTGATAAAATAACTCGAAAGATCAAATATAACTCTTGAAAAGTATTTACCGGCGACGGTCCTCATCACCACCTCGTTGCCTTTGTACGCCCAAGGCCCAAACTTCATTGGACAAGTCTGCTTGTCGAAGGGGAAATATGTTATATCGAGCGAGCAGGAGCTCTTGAAGATGGCAGGTGCGGCCCAGAAGACCCCGCCTTCGCTGGAGACGACCGCATTGGTCATCATGATGCCGGTGCCTGGCTCCTTGTCCACATCAGCGCTGTAGGGTAAAACAAATTCCGTGGAAAGATTACACCGACCAAGTCCCGGATATCGCATATATTACCTAAAAGTTTCGTAAATGATCAGAAACTAGATTTGCATAGTTGACAACTTTCGATTTAAGTCGAAAACAAAATGCAATACAATAATTTGGGACCTACTTGTCATATTATCAGTGGGTCCTAAAATATCATATCCATTATCAGGAGTAAAGTCTAGCTGAACACTGTCTGTTCACTCGCAAATTCACCCGAACACAGGCTTTACATAGTAAGTGTGCTTAATGAAAATTAATTAGTCTTCTTGTGATTAACACACAACGTGTCCTACATGGGAAATGCCTAGTGGATTCAAGTACCAACCTGTCATACAAAACAGTGTCTGGAATCCATATTTGCCGAGTGGGTATGTTTATTGCCGTGATGTTATCGTAGTCTAGGGGGTCCCACACAAGAAAGTCATCCCTCCATCTCTGTGCGATTAAATTACATGGGTTATCAAATCAAAATTCCCGTTCCCCTTGCTGTAAACTCCTCCCATTCCACATTCACTCAAAATTGTCTCTATCGTTCTTGAGGAGTGTTGCCCTATCTTATCATACATGCTTACATCAACAAATTAAAACGGAAACGAGACTTTTGATACTCAACCATTTTCCCTGCCTCTTTATAAAGTATGCCCTTTTTAAGGCGATAAGAGCATATCAAACAATGTAAATCTAAGCTGAAATGGAGGTCAACCAGCAATTTTCGTGGATAACCTGTTTTGATATTATTCACAGAACGCATAATTTTAATTAATGGACTTTGGGTTCAGTTAAGGAATAGCAAGTGAAAAATGTGAACTTACAGGCTCCCAACAGCAGAGCAAAAATCAATTAAAAAACTCTCAGGAAGGCAAGGGTTTTAAACTGCTCCCCCCACGCATACATTAAATCGTATTTTGCAGTTTTCCATCATCGCGTTATTTCGTTTCAATTCGAGATTCATTTTTTTTACTCAGGTCTAAGCCAATTAGGACTAGCAAGAGGTAGTGCAACCCTCCCTCGTCCAAAGATAGCCAAGGAAATTCCATATTGATAATTTGTTCTTTGTAACTTCAGTACATTAATTTGTTCTCAAATGAAATTGATGTTTAATTCTTGTTAAATGCATGCAACAAAATATCCAAATAATAACACTCAACATGCATTGGGGTACTGCTTTTTAAGAGCGGCCATTGAACCTATGATTTTTTTAATTTTTTTTTTGTAGTTGCTAAGGGGGCCTTTTTCACATTGACTGGAAATATGCAATTTTTCTCTGTATAAACGTATTATGCGGTGAAGCTATCAATACAGTTTTGTTTCTCCACCGTCTGAACAAAGTATTGAAAGGCAGCCTTAATCATGAAAGCAGCTCACATGTCATAAATAGCAAGAACACCTGGTGTCTATGTTAATACTCGTGTGTTGTCTGACCTGATGACTGCAAAAGACATAACGTAGGTCCTGAACGTACGTCTTGATTTGTGGCACATGTAAAAATATATAATCTCATATACCAAGCCAGCTTTGAAAAATCCGACATCGGGTCTCTCTCTACCTTTCCTCGAGAAGTTGAAAAAATGAAACCTTTTGGGGGGTTCGAAATTTCAAGGTAAAGTATCAGTTCATTTTGTTACAAGAAGAAAAAAAGACATCTCCATGCTAGACTTTTAATGGCATATAGTCAAAATATCCCTACCTGCTCCAACCAAAATGCTGTAGTCAGGATTTGGTTTCTCTCGTCCTGTCCAGAGAGGTGCATAACCCAGTTCACAATCAAAACAGGGTGAGGTAAATGGGGACGGGGGTGAAGAAAATAAACAACAATCCGTGCTATAAACCATGCCATATATCGAGAACGGAGGCTCACCTGTCATATGAACATTAATGCTGTGCTGTGCACCTAAGGAGATACAGTAATACAAGCGTAATGGGAGAGAGCGCGTGAGAGTGTTGGCTTTGTTTTAAAGGACAACGACACTTTGCCATTTTCGCAGGCTCCTTATTATCTCGCCATTCAAAGAACCCCAGTTTTTTTATTAAGTGTATAAAGCATTGAAAGCTATTATAAAAAACCAAAAAACAAACAAACCAAAAAACAATTTTTTACCGATGGATACCCCCACGGTAATGGGAAAAATTTAACCCAAGAGAAATTTTCATCACCCTGACGCTACTCTTTAGCACATCTAAAACCATGCAGATGGCTCCCTATTACTATCATGATTCCTCCCCGAAATTCCCTACATGTTGTCGTGCTGTATGTGCAGAGGTCAGAAAGAGTGCTGTGATCGGACAGGCATGCACATGCAAGTCTGTTCAAGTCACTATGCAAAACGTATACAGCCGACGAAAAGAGGATACCTGCTCCAGCCTGACCACGGTGGTAAGGACCTGGTTCACTTCATCCTTGGGTGAGACAGAAGAAAGAGGTCAACGAGGAATAGAGGGAGAAAGTGTGTGAAAATCATAAAAGAGGGACTGGATGGTCACAGAAAGAGAGTGGCGCACCTTGGATTTGTCTGGGACTGGGATGCACGGCTCTAAGACAGCTAGTAGTTTAATTAAGACGTGGGTGTATACTGATTTTTTACAGAAAGTGTATACATTTTTTTAAAAAGACAACCATCAGAGCTCAAGCCCCCAGCCCCCCCCCCCAAGTGCGCCACTGCAGAAAGACAGAACACGAGGGTGCAGACTGTACTTGAGTTTGAAGAAAGAACATCATATAGAAATAAAGAATATGCAAAACGGAAATCAAATGCAGGCGTTGGAAATGTTTACATCGGAGGGGTGTGAAAACTGATTCAAGGCAAATAAAAACGTACTTATTTTCCTTACAAATAATTAAAATATGAAATGTGAAATCGTGCTGAAGTTTCCTCTTTTTGTCTCTTTGACCGATATCCTCTGAAAACAAACAGCAACCAACAAGGGTATGAAATGTCAAACAAAACACTGCAATATATGCAATATGCAATTATGTACCGGTAGCCTCGGCGGTCAGTTCTGAAATCTCTGGAAACGAGCAGTGTGGAACGTGTGCGTAATACACAGTACAATTAAAGCCGCGAGTCACAACAGAAAAATTAAACACGTTTTAGGTTTTGAAAATCATGCCAATTTAAGCCCCATCGGCATGGACATATCGTAAGCGTCCACAGTAATTGTTCTCTTTTCCAAAAGAGCTTTCCAGCACACTGGCAAATTAATCACATTGCGTCGTGTAAACTTTTTGCTCAAACACCTTCCAAAAACATACAAATAGTAATACAAATGTATCACTGGAACCGCTTTAGAATCGCACAGAACATTAATGCATACTGCGTATCTAGACAAATTTGAACGATGTATGGTTTATATTAAGAATCTCGCTCAGCAATCTTCACACGGTGGAGTGTGTGCTGTGCCTCTTATCTAGAACACTGAACTCTATATTATGTGGGTTTGAAAATAAACAAATATTTCAAAAATAAAACAATTACTGTATGTATTCGTCTTTGGGCAAGGCACTTTGCCGTAAATTATCTCTTTACCACACTAGGGGTAGAATGGATACTTGCAATATAGCAGAAATAGCTTAAGGTCTCGAATTCGTATCCGGAAATATCCAAGGAAACAGTGCATGACAATGTTCAATAAAATGGCTGAAGTTGTATGTTTTGTTATGGATCTGGTTCATCATGACGTCGAGACTGTAATACATATACGCTAAAAATGTTTGCTGCATTTATGAACGATAAAAGTAGGGCCTATTACTATAAATATAAAGGCGGTATCTTTGTGACCTCAGGATCGAAGAGGCACTATTATTGCATGTCCAACAACTCCTTAAACGTTTACACAAGGTTATGTTTGTAGGTATTACTTTTGTTTGATCCATTTGTGTTATTTGTAATTTCAAATTATCGTTCCTTGCCACTGCGAACAGGAAAATACACTTTTTGAAAACTGCTGTCAATTTATCTGCATAAAATTGGCCCGGGTCCAAAAACCTAATCAATCTATCGCTGTTTCCGACTTAGTAATGCCCCTGCAACAGCCATATGGACATTCTGCACGTTGAAGTTTTGTTTGTCTCAGATTACTTTTACGCGTCCCGGTTCTATTTTCCATTGGACAATATTTTTCACACGCTGCGCTGGCATGATTCTACCGCGATAGGCCAATTCGCTCAGGAGATTAAAACTGTGCAAACAGGCAGCATTAAAAATGCAAATTAAATCAGCAATAATAAACATTTAACTTACTATTTTGAGAATCCGTGAGAGCTTCATGTGATAGAACACCTCCAAAACTTTAGTTTCATTGAGTACTGGGCGCACATAACGGCTGTACTCCCGTAGAAGGTCGGACACCAGTCTTTCCTGGTGCCCCTCAGAATACAGACTGTTGCCACACACTACAAAGGGAAGATGAACAATAAGCCTCATCCACGGGGAAATCCTTTTCATTTTGGTCTCCAAATATAGCGTATTTTATACAAACTGTAAAATTGGGTGGTGCCAGACTATTTTGGGTTGAAAGCATCCATAACCCCTTTTTAAAATATGGCTTCAAATATGTATATTTAATTTATCACAGTTTTTTCAATTATTCTACGGGCAAACTGGCATGGATTTGTAGAAAGTGCTAACGGATGACCATTTTGTCCAATATTTGAACCTTCACCTCTGCGCTGAATTGTCTTTTTTCATTGCCAGTCGTATGCTGTAGGTCAGATACAATTGGGCATTTAATCTATATTCTGTAGCTAAAAGGAGATTCTAGCCAAAACTGTTGCCATGTCGTGATGTTGATTGGTTGGAGACCAACATGTGGTTGTATGTCAATAAAAACAATTATTCAGGCAATTTCAGTTAGACGATTCCGAGTGAAAGGCTCCCAATTTGATGGATTCCCTGTACCCTGCAGTTCTGCCACTGCTGCAATTAAGGCTGGTGTCAAACAACCTAACAGAGATATTGACAAGTCCTTTCCACACCCTTGGAACTATTGGCCGAGCAGTGACACGGTAAACAGGACGAGCAGGTTCGAGGTTGCAATCCTGGCCAAAATTGTTTTGACATGACCATAAGAATACCATACCTCCCAAATTAACCCCCCCCGCCCCAGTCTATAACTGTATATTCAGTGTGGACAGGGACTAGGGTGGGAGAATTACTGTGAATGGAAAAAGGGATCGCAGGATAGTATTCACGTCTTGGGATCACCATCACTTCTATTAGGCATGTTAAGATTAGTATCTATAGGACTACATCATAGATTATCAATAATTGTTTGCATTTGTATCCGTTTTGCCGAATTCATATGCACGTTACATTAAAAAAATGCAAGTGTGTAAGTGATCCAAGCACTAAACGATTTTATGTTCCCGTGTTATATGTCAATCTCTTATTTTACAATAGCTAGTGCAACCGAGTAAGCTTTCACGACTATACTGCATGACACTGATTATCAAGCCCAAAGTACTGGCATAAGGTTTTAAAAATACTTGTGATCACAACGTTATGAAAAGACAATCCAACACACGAGTTACAAGAATGTACTCACCTGGTTCAAGAAAGATTACGCAGATCAGGGGCAAAGTAGCTGTCATAAGAAAACGCCATCCACAGTTGATGGTCCGCGCCATCTTTGTCGTTGACCGAGTTTACGAGGGATACACACTGCAGCAAATTTAAAATGCGCCTGTGTGTACTTGTGCCGTGACAATCAGAAGAGCAGACACGCACGTATTCGGGGTGTGATGCGCTAAAGGCGTCAGCGTTGGTGAAGGCCGCATGAAGTATTACTACACTTTTCTGCGCTGACAGATTGACCAGCAAGCCGAACACTTAGCGACGATCAATATTACCGAATTCGAGAGGGAAGGGGGTTAAGATTCGATAGTCCGATATCTGGATTAACACTTAGACATCAACATTGAACATGTCTGTGAAACAGTTTGTCTTGGGGCAGTAATTGAATTGATCGGAACTAAACGCTGCCTCTGATGGTGTGGTTTTCATGTTCCCCTTAAGGATCGAACCAGTCCCGAATAACAATAAATTAAAACTTAAAATGAAGTGACAGAGTTATGTGCGTTAGAAGACAATTGCCAAAGGACTATCCTGATTGACTTTGGTGTCTGTACATGTACATGAAGGCTTGTCGCTACCTTTGGTTTAGAAACTCATCTTTCCAAAATCCACTTTAGACTGTATGTTTTGTCGCAATTAATATGTCACTCGCCTCTTAGCGGTAATTGGTGGCATCGTTGCACCATGCTTATCAATTGATCCAGTTAATTAAAACAGCTGTCCAATATTTCTCTCTTCCACAGAAATCCATGCGTGCAAAACTATCCTCTTTATTTTCAGCTACAATGATACACATGAACAGTATAACCAAGTCATGGATGTATGTTAACTTCCTGTACGCGGAAGCAATCAAAGCAACGTATCGGCAGGTCCTGTGAGCGTTTGCATGTTTAATTGTCAGATGTGTCGTTTAGGTGCAAACGCAACCCTGGTCACGGGCACTATTATATAATAACTCTCATAAAATGTAACACGTGAAAACGGTGCTAAAGTCAGTCTATTTCGTTATTAATTTGGACATGGCAGCCATTTCTCAATAGATTAAACAATTACTGCCTTTTCTGGGCACTCCATTATAATGTATAATTGAACTAGATAGAATGCCGTCTTTTTAACCTTTCTCAATCCCGGTATAAGTGTCTATCATACATTAATCTAAAGATGACAAAATTAATGTAGTTGCCGGATTAGCATTCTTGTCAAAATCAATGCCGTCTCTCTCCAGATGTATGCATGTAGGGCCTATGTCCATCTACGCCAGTTGCTGATGATACACTTGACAAATGACTGAAGTTCTTGCATCTCTGACATAAACAATTAGTATATGATACACATATACTGCTACTAGGCAAAATTAAAAGATCTATACGAAGACATTTTCCTAAAAACACTTTTTTTGTGCAACTTTAAACTCCAATTCATACAACCTACATTTGATAGACATTTGGATAAGTCTACTAAAAATTGCATTGGATTCAGTGTTTTATATGCTCCCTGCCTTCTCGGACGAAGAGAGTACTATTACGACGTTATTCGAAGGAGACACTACCCCAGCTGTAATTGTTTGTGTATTTATTTTTCTGTTTAAACTGTGAACCAGAAGTTTGCACATAGAACTATATCTGAAAAAGCTTGCTTCTTTGCATATTTATATCGGCTTAAACAACAATAAATCAACGTAAAATTAAAAGAGATGTTTACACAAAACTGTTCAGCACAGATACAAGAAATCGAAGTGTATTTTTTAATGACAGAGGAAACAGCAAAGTTGTAAAGACTCGAGTCAATGTTTCGACATGATCAAAAAATTTGGCGAATTGAACTGAAACAGTCCAGCGGCAAAATGTCTCCACTCGAAAGGCAATGTAAAAATAAGATTCGATTCAACGCTCTTTCGACTCTTTAAAAGATCCCATATCAAATATGACGTGAACCATTTAGAAAGTGTCAAAAGACAGGTTTAAATAACGTCAAGTGGCTAAAAGAAAGACTACCTTGCTGCTGTCTAATGCAGTTCTGGTAATTGAAACTTTTGCGTTTTGAATCCGTTCATATTTGAAGGGGGCGCTGTTTAAGAACAATTGAGGGAAGTACAAGTATGTAAATGGCATCACTCTGCGTAAATCTATCAGAATCAACGCCGATGACACTGGCAAGGTATACACGTAAACGGTTAAAACGAACTGAAAAGACGCAATAAGCAAGGCTGGTTCGGTCCTAGATCTGTAATTAATATTTTAGACATAAAAGAAAGGATAGAATCCGGTCTTGGTCGCAATGAGGAGAAACTTGTTACCTTTCGGTGTTTCGCTATTGTTTTGACCCTCGGTTCAACGGTGCAGTGATGGAGATCGACAAATATTACCAAATGTGGTCATAACTTTCTTCTCATTGACCAACTTGGCGCAGATATTTTGTAATCCTCACCCCAGGCATACCCCACAAGCCTTTAAACTCCCATTAGCCACACCCCAACCACTGCCTAGTTAAAATTCTTGAAAGATCAGTCACCCAAAGCAGGCCATATGGTCTCTAATGGGAACTGGATCTCTTTGTTTAAAGACATGTGCTGAGTGGTCAGCTGTTTGGGTTGTGACCTGGTATTACTTGTACTTCCACAGCAGCATAAGGAAATGTAGTTAGAGTGGACACCAGGGGTGCATTAGCTACCATAAAACAATCGTACAGGTTGTACAGGTTCAGGCATGAAGGTCAGGAAACTGACTTGGAGACAATTATCACCTCATGGAGTAATGGTGTGATTTTGGGGGCGTAGCTGCTCCTTTGTTTACAAGTATGTGCTGACTGGTCACGTCTGTTTGGGTTGTGACTTGGTATTACTTGTACTTCCACAGCAGCATAATGAAGTGTATCAGAGGGTACCTGAGGGATGTATTAGCTACAGTCGTGCAGGCTCAGGCATGACCGGGAACTGACCGGTGATGAGAATCTCCAGGTGGTGACAACAGTCTTCGTTTTTGGGCGTGCCTGCACCAAGGGTTAAATAGCAAAATGAAGAATGACTGTCGTATATTTTTCTTTCCAGACAACTCCATAAACATGCATTATACTTAGCGATTACGTGGCAAGGATAAAGTTCAGATGTCTTTTAACATCCCATGTTTCAGAATAGAACTTTACATGAAACTGGCCACGTGTAACTAAGTGCGCTTAACATGATCGCCTATACGACTTCAATGTTGAAACTTCCAACAGCTTCAGATTCAATTACAGTGGACCAAAGATTCTATGTAGACGTATCGCGCATTTCATTAAGAAAAGTAAGTGTAAAGCTGTAAAAGACCGTAGAATCTAATTTACTAGTTTCAAATGCTTGAGCCCCGCACGATTTAATTGCCCTTTGGATCTATGTCTGTAAAACTGAAATACGTACTGATATTTAAAACAACGGACCCCTTCTAAAATCTCGATTTAATCTCTGTCTCCGGCTTTGGGCTCCTACGATACCCCCCACCTTTGAGATTTTGGCACGGTATGGGAAAAACGTTTGTGACAGGAGTACTAATCCCTTGGAACAAAGGAGGCATCTGGTAGCAACATTTAAGGCAAAAAAGTTACAAATATGTAAAATTAAAAGAACTGGGTCCTTGCTGAGATAACATAATGAAAAACCATTATGCTCTAATTTACAAAACAAATATCGAATCAGGCAAGTCAAGCTTAGCGAGGAATCCAAGATTCCGAATCGTGCTTCTACGTCCCTCTACCCACAGCGCCCTAGACTGATTACGGTGACATATATTGAAAAACATTCGGTAGTTGAAACTGCACACGTGCTGTCAGTTTGAAAACTGATTTTTTCCTGTAAAGTAAAACTACCTGGGTCAAACATGCATATACGTGTGACGAGCACATCGTTACTGTTATGACGATGACCTTTTCAACATTTCATCACCCCCCCAAAAAACGAACAAAAAAACAAAACAAAAAACAAAGAAATAAAGAAAAATAAAAAAATAAAACGAAAAGTTTATGCCTGTTCCAGAACAGACCATAAAGGCTTTTCTGCATTTTGAATTTTCTTGTGAAAAGGGGAACAGGGCTTTAAAGAATGGACATTAAACATCACATTATTTCTTCCAGCTCTCTGAAAAGTTCAATCGCACATGGACTCTGGGAGATGTGAAGCTTTAAACATTGTGCCTCTTATGTCACGTTACTTGCTACTTGAAGAGGTCATCATCACGAGGGCAATTTTCGTCTATAACCCTTCCCTTTCCGGTTACATGTATCTGCAAAGTTTTGACCAAATGTGACATGTACTTCAAAAGATTTTGGGCACCTTTAGTGTCACGTGACTTGTCACTTCATGACACCATCATCACGAGGGCGATTTTCCTCTTAATCCCTTCCCTTTCAAGTTGTCTTCAAAATGTCAACCCGATGGGACATGTACATCAGGAGAAACATGTATAGGGCTTTAAAGAGTGCACCTTTAAGGTCACGTGACCTGGCACCTGATGGCGTCTTCATCACATGAGGGCAATTTTCGTCTGTATTGCTTCCCTTTCTAGTTATCTGCAAAGTTTCAACCCAATGTACACGTAATTCAGGAGATATATGGAGCTTTCAAGAGTGCACCTTTAAGGTCAGGTGATTTGGTACCTGATGACGCCATCATCACGTGGTCGGTTTTTGTCTTTGGTACATCCCTTCCGAAATATCTGCAAATTTTATATTGGGGGTGTATTTCAGGAGAAAGAGGCCTCTGTAATTTGTACCTTAAATGCCATGCCACGGGACACGTGGTGACGATTTCTTTTGGACCCGGCCTACCCTGAGGAGGACCGAGTGTGGACCTATTATGTATTGAGTCGGATCGATAAAAGGGCTTAGTCTTGATGTTGAAGAATACGTACAAAAATTTGGGAAAATATCATGTTACCAGTAACTTAAGCGTGTGAAGTTTTAGAGTCTTATGACTTTAATGCCCAGTGGTGACGAGAAAAAGTGGGCTTAAACCAAGAAGAAAAAAAATGAAAAAACAAAGCCTTTTCCGCACTGTGCGGAAAAGCCCCCCCCCCAAAAAAAAAAGACACAGACTTGTAGCTAGTTTTTAAACAGTTGCATTGTTTCAAATGAAATAAAAGGAAAAAATGATCTGGAATGGTTTAAACATTTTAGATGAAACCTGATTAAACATGCTTGATTAGCGTGAGGCAAACTGAGAACTGTTCGCTCCGATTAGCATTTTATTATGATACAATATCTCCTGCCAAGCAAAATTATTTCACATACGATCCACAACTGAACCTTTTATGGACAGAGGGCGCTGTACATAATAGGCCTACTAGCCTTGAGTGATGGGCATATTAAATAAGTTCATATTGGACAG